CAATGCTTAAAGCTTGATGTGCAATTCCTTTTCTAGAATATATACTATACAAATTGAGGTTCATTATACTATACACTATATACACAAACTGGTTAGTATAGTTGGATGGGTTCTTTAGATACATACTTTACACAGAGTGCAAAGACTGGGGGAACAGATCAACCAACAACTTCCCCTACTATAAGATAAAGCAGAGTTCCTAGTTTAAAGCCAAAATTCAAAGTGCCTTTGTGACCAAGGGTGGTTGTTACTGTCTTGTTTGGATAACTGACATTCAGTTCCTAACTAACACAGTTGGAATTTTTGCGTACCTTATGCTGCAGTCTACTTAGCTTCTTCCGTCCCTGCTATTTTTGGTTTCCCCTTTTATTCTTAGCCACATTCTAATTTCTAGAAAATATTTCCTTAGGTCTCTATTTACTTAAAAACTCAAACATATTCTTCCATTGAAAACCACCTAATAAGCTGATAGAAAAAACCCTGTTAATCTGGTACCCAAACATCTAGTTTCTGCTTATTTCCAGTGACTTGAAACTAAATATCCAGTTCTTTTTGGTCATCTCTTGCTATCATAGTTCTTCTAACAAATCTGTTATAATTAAAACCAACTGGTCCTTACTGTACTTAAAAGTTGAATTGTCTTTCCACTGATTTCTACTTAGGACTTACTCCAACTATAATATGACATGACTTTTACCTAATGGATTTATACTGTCCCTCTAGCAAATTAAAATTTTCTATTAAGTACTTATAAATAGTCATTGCTTATTAATTACTTCTGGAATTTTGTGGGGAAATGTATTAAGTTTGCCAGAAAATGCCTTTTGGAAAAATAATTATGATTTCAGGTTTATTTCTATATATAGAACAGTCTACCACAGTTCAAAAAAAAGTAGAAATATGACTTTTAAACACCTTTAACATCTTTTAGTACCTCAAGCTATAATTTGTCATAGCAGAAAAAATTTTCAATGCCCAGTCCTCTCATCTGCAGACAGCTAGAGACTCCATTTTCCTTCAAGCTGGTGGTCTGCAATGTCTGCTCGAGGGCTTTATGGTCCTTCCAAATTCCATGTTAGTATTATACATTGAATTTACTCTCTAAATTATTTGTACAAAGGGGTTCTAAGGCTAAAAAGTTTGAAAGTTATATTTAAATTACATTTGTTCCACTGATTCCAACTTAAAATGGCAAAGGATTCTTTCAGTGGAAAGATGTCCATTTTAAATTAGTTGTAATATATTCAATACAATTTATAATAGAAGAAAAAAAATCGAAGGGGGGCACATAGTGTCTCTAATATGTGAGGAATGAGGACTAAGAATCCTTTAAATTAGAACTATGCTATGTTCTAGTTCTAGGAAAATATACTATTAAACCATATGCAAATGAGTATTTTTAAAGATCAAAATTTCACTTTGCTCACCTGATCCACTCTAAGTACAGTGACTGCAGCATTAGTAGCGAGTTTGATAGCCCAATATTTTCCCAGGTAAGTATCTAGAATACCAGCTTCCAACATGTCCTTTACAGCAGGGACTTCAGCCTGTCAAAACACAATTTTCATCCTTTCATTTAAAATCCTCTTATGTGAAAATGTTTATACCTAACAAAAAGCCCCACACAGCTCCATAAATAGTAATGGAAAGTAACCAAGCACAGTACTACCTTACAGAGTCATCCTTTAGTATGTGAGGATTGGTTCCAGGACCCCCAAGGATGCCAAAATCCGTGGATGCTCAAATCCATTATATAAAATGGCATGGTGTTTGGATATCTATGCGCATCCTCGTATATACTTTAAATCGTCTCCAGATTAAATTATATAACAGTGTAAATAGTTGTTATACTGTATTTTTGAATGTCTTTAGTTTTTCCAAATATTTCAATCTGTGGTTGGTTGAATCAGTGGCTACAGAACTGGGCTGATTACACACTACAGAACAGAAGGCTATCAATAAAACAAGGAAAATGAAACATTCCTCCATCAGACAGACTATGTAAAAACTAAGAAAATAATCTGCTCCCAAATCAGAACACTGTTTCTCATTGATACTTCTTTTAAACTCACACTATTTTTAGGTTGTGCATTCCCCAAATAAAGCAATTTAAGTTCAGTGTTTTTTCAAATACCTCAATATCTAATCCAACATTTTTATTTCCTTCTTGATGTACTGCATAAAGTTTAGAGATTACTTCATTGGCCTTAACTCCAGAGTTTTCTGCCAGTGCGCGGGGAATAGCTTCAAATGCCTCAGCAAACTTCTTAATAGCGTACTGTTCAAGTCCAGGACATGTCTACAACAAAAATGTGTTAATTATTGCCTTTTATTCAAGCAATGGAAAGAAAGTCAATTTATACAGAAAAAGCTATACCTCTCCGTATGATGTGATCTGTTTGGCTAATTCAATTTCTGTTGCTCCACCTCCAGGTACAAGACGTTTATCCTGTAAGTAGTCCCCCCGCCAAAAAAAACAAACAAACAAAAAAAAACACAAAAATTCACTAAAAAGCAGTTCGCAGTTTTCTCATCTTTTCACATTCCAGTAACCCCACCAAACAGGAGTTTTTATCAGTCATTGTTACTCAAACACATATTACAAATTTGGTAACAGTGAGTGGGTGGGGCAGATTTTCTTAGTGCACAGTGTCTGGTGTATGAAAAGGACCAAAGTGAAGAATGGGAATAGCACCGTATCATTTTTGCATATCCACAGATATAGCACTAAGAACTGCTTTAGCAACTCAAAGTACATTACAATGGAAAACTACCATAAACAATGTTTTTAAAAGCTCTGCGTTGCTGTTAACTCCTCTGTGCAATCCTTTCTGGAAACTATCATATTCAATAGCAGTGGACACTTAGGTAAAAACAAAAACAGGTGCTTCATTGCATATAAACCACTCATTCTGAAGTACTCGTGATGTGCATGAGTCTGCCAACTGTACTTTTAAGAACATACAAAGTACTCAGACCTTACAAACTACTAAGATTATTGCTAATACTGACCCTTGTAAGAACTTTGAAAGTATTAACACCATCGTCTACTGCCCTTTCTATGTCATCCATCAGATTGTCTGTAGAGCCTCGAAGTACTATGGTAGAAATGGCGCCATCTTCCTTTTCTATCAAAAAATTAAATATATTTGGTGATTACATACAAGAAGCTAAAGCCCTGCACTTAAACATGTTTTACCATTCCTACATACCATGCTTAAAAACCACCACCTGAGTATCTCCAACTTCTGAGAGGCAAACACTGTCACAATGTCCCATTTCTTCAAGGACAGGAGGTGTCTGTAAGAAAGTGACTGTTGTAATAAAAATTCCATCATGTTCAACTATCTTTTAGTGTTTTCCAAAATACATACCAATCTAGGAAGAGCTGTAGCACCAACTGTTTTACACAGTCTTCGGAGATCCCATTTTGAGTTTAGCCTTTAAAAAACACAAAGACCTTAATAAAAGTTTTAATCCATTTGATTTTAATTTCAGATAGCATATAAACTTCAAATTAAAGAGGAACCTGTATACCAGCCCCCACGTCACATTCTTTTGACAGTGGATTTTAACTCAGAACACGTCTGGATTGCAATGAACACTGAGGCCAGGAAGCTGCTGACTCTGAGTGAATCCAGCTGGCCAATAGTACCACATCTTAAGTCTATGTTGTATGGCATTGTTCTAGAATTGCTCGAATGGAAATCACTTTAGGATGCCAGTGGTTTATAGTTCTAAAACACCAGGGAAACCCTTACAAAACTCAACAGCATATAGAAAATTTTTGCTTTACTTTGTGCAATCAATGTTCTGTGAACAGGAGTGATTTATTTTGCACATTTTATTAGGTACTAGGGATGGTGGTAGGTAGAAATGGGTAAGTTGTCTAGTGTGCACCATAAATGTGTTCATGGAGTAAAAGGGATCTTCCTGACTCCACACTGTGATGGGCAATGCACCAAGCTTGTGTCTAGTCTCTTGGACAAGTTGTTCCTTTTGCCTGGAATGCTTTTCCCTCTTCAGATATCTGGTAATTGGTTCTTCAAGCTCTCAGCTTCGATTTATGTTTTCTCAGAGGTGTTTCCTGACCCCTCCCCAAACTAAGTCCTTCTGCTATTTGACCTAATACCTATACTTTTCCTTTATTAACAGTCATCGTGGTCTATTTTGTTAGTGTTTTCACCACCGAAAAAAACATTTATGACATAGGTAAAAAGAATTCGGCTTTCTCTTACCTCACTAACATGATATTATATTTGTTTGCATAATGAAGAGCCATGTCTGCCACTTTGCCACCTGTTACTACGACATTTGCACCAGTATCAGCAATAGCTTTGACTTGTGCATCCATGAGATTTTCTTCTCCCTTACTAAAATTCATCAATTCTTCAGCAGTCTTTATCAACACTGTTCCCTGGCAAAACAAGTAAACATTCCCTTTAAAATCATTTCACTACACTGGTGTTCAAAGTTGTAAGAAAAAAGTTTACTGAATAAATAATTTTAAGGTTTGGTTAAAAAAAAAAAATGAAGATAAATGTGCATATATTATGAAGCAGCAGAATACTAAATGCTTCTAGAAACTTCCAGATGCATCTGCTTTTGATAAGTACTTAGGTGGAAAAGTACTTCTAGTTACTACTTTTTGAGACACAGTCTTACTCTGTCGCCATACTGGTGTGCAGTGACAGGATCTCGGCTCACCGCAACCTCTGACTCCTTGGTTCAAGCGATTCTCCTGCCTCAGCCTCACGAGTAGCTGGGCTTACAGGCAAGCACCACCATGCCTAGCTAATTTTTGTATTTTTAGTAGAGACAGGGTTTCACCATGTTGGCCAGGATGGTCTCAATCTCCTGACCTCGTGATTTGCCTGCCTTGGCCTGTGCTGGGATTATAGGCGTGAGCCACCGTGCCCAGCTGAGAAGCACTTTTATTTTAAATATGTCAGGTAGGTGTCCTGGTGTTTGTCTTTTGACAAAGGTTAACTAGTATTAGCAAAACAACATTGCGGTTCTCAAACTTTTTCTAAAATGTGGACTTGGCGAGGCCGAGGTAGGTGGCTCATTTGCGGTCAGGAGTTGGAGACCAGTCTGGCCAACATGGTGAAACTGTCTCTACTGAAAGTACAGAAATTAGCCAGAGATCACTTGAACCCAGGAGGCAGAGGTTGCAGTGAGCCAAGATCATACCAATTCACTCCAGCCTGGGTGACAAAGCAAGACTCTGTCTCAAAAAAAA